ATCGTCGTTGAGGGGGCGCGGCCGCGGCTCCATCGCTCTCCGCGTCGCCTCCCACGCCATCGGCGGTGGCACCCGTCCCGTGCGCACTCGGTGAGGAGAGGAGGGGAGGAGAGGAAAGAGGCAGAGAGAGACGAGAGAGAGGGGAGGGGAGGAGAGGAATATAATAGGGAAAAAGGAAGAGAGGGTGTCAAAAAAAATTGAAGTGGGTGAGAGAGAAAATAGGAAGGGATATTTTATTTTCCTGTGCGGTCCACTTAAAAAGCCCGCACGCGAAAATCGATTTTTCTATGTGGTCCACTTAAGTTGACCGCACGGGATAATGAGGATTATCCCGTGCGGTTGGATTAAGATGCCAGCACGGGATAATTGATTTTCCCGTGTGGGCGTCCGCCCGATGCCGGTCGCTCGATTATCCCGTGCGGTTCCACTCATGGCCCGCCCAAAAGGGCCCGGCGTCCATGAAAAATCATTCGTGTAGTAGTGTTATTTCTCTAGTTGTATATCAATCTAATCTTGTACGTTTGTGTATCGATTTATAACATCACAATTAATGTTACTTTTTCCTATAACTATCTAAGTCGCGCGTAAATGATGGGTTTCATGACATCCATGTATAGAAAATCCTTATCATGTACGTGCAGTTGCCTGGCTAGTTGTATATATCATATATGAGCTCGTAGCTTAGCGGGATGCGAGTATGGCGTGGGATGCGAATGTTAGCAGCATGCCTTTTCTATTTACTTTGGCGGCTTAGATGCTTAGTGATCAGGCTGTTATTATACACAGAGATGACATTAGTTTTCTTTGAAAGTAATTCATTAGGTTGATGCAGATCTGACCAATAATCGAGGCTATAGCTATAGCCTTAGTTAATTGATCACTTGTTCTTACAATTCGTTTAATTGTAGGAAATCAGGAACCGATATAGGTTAGTCAACCATCTCGTTAGTGCAATGAGGGATATAAAAGTCACCATATACCGAATTAATGAGTATCATCCATCTATCATAGTAAATAATTAGATTCCTCAAAATAACGATCCAATGATCAAGTAGTTAAAATATCACCTGGTTACTGTGGCCATCAGTTATCTTAGCCGGTTCCTATCAAGAAACCGCTGAGTAATCTGGATAAATTAAAACAAATTAAATTCGAAATTTCATTAAATTGTTTCTAAATTTCTGATAACCAACGAAACGCTAGCAACAAATTGTTTTTTTTATGAAACACTGGATAGAATACACAAAGATTCCATTAATTTTCATAATTCCTTTTGGCAATAATTTCTAATTCAAAAAACTAGCTGGGTGCAGAATGCAGAGCTGACTAAGAACAAGGGATTGTTTGGAAGAGCTTTTAGCAGCTATAGCTTCTCACAGAGGCCGTGTTTAGTTCTTTGGCCAAATTTTTTTAAAGTATACGGACACACATTTGAAGTATTAAACATAGACTAATAACAAAACAAATTATAGATTTCGTCTGTAAACTGTGAGACAAATTTATTAAGCCTAATTAATCCATCATTAGCAAATGTTTACTGTAGCATCACATTGTCAAATCATGGCGTAATTAGGCTCAAAAGATTTATCTCACAATTTACATGCAAACTGTGCAATTGGTTTTTTTCGTCCACATTTAATGCTCCATGCATGTGTCCAAACATTTGATGTGATATTTTTAGCCAAAATATTTTAGGATCTAAACACACCCGGAATCTTCAGCTCCTCAAACGGTCCATATTGTTACCCAAATTTTTCTAAAAATCCATAGTTGTAGAATCCAGAAAATGAAAAATCTAAAAGCTGAAAAACCCAGCGTCTCTAAATTTTCAGAAGTTGGTTACCAAGCAGAAGAATATCAAATCTGCGGCTCCCCTAAACAAGGCCCAACAATCAGCCACCTATTGAGCAAAAACAGCAAGCAAAATGCAAGCATTTAAACTCCATTGCTTAGATACAAAATCCTTTATGCTTTGATTTGATCCAAGCTAACCCACCAGCCATGGCGGAGGTTGTACAGCTCTACCACCTCATCTTGCTTCTGCCGCTCTTCATCCTCCCCTTCCTCCTCCTCCTCCGTTAGTTGTGCCGGAATAGTAATATTTTCCAATTTCCAGGAATTTTAGGAAATGAAATTTCGAGGGACTTTGCTTAGGACCTTGGAACTCTAATGATTCTACGACTTTATATGAGTTCTTGTATGAATTTTTGAATGGTTTAGGAGGGGACTCGAACCTCGAAATTTGAATCTTAGAAATTTAATTTAGGATAGAATATTTTGGTCAAGATTTTGAGTTCACAAAGGAATGAATTAATTGAGATCTTTGGTACTCAAACCTAGATACACTCAAATAACCAAACTTTTGAACATAGAATTTTATTAAATAGTTTTTAAGGGTATACGGAAATTGGGGCGTTACAGGATTTGCAGCGAAGCTTATGTCTTCTTGATTCTTAACCTAAAATAATGTCTTCTTGATCCTAACCTAAAGTAAAGGGATTGGCAACGTACAAAAAAAATATCAAGGACCTAAAAGGAGGTACACAACGATTTTTTTTTAAAAAAGGCGAAAATTAGAGAAAGAACTTATCTCTACTATTATAAAAATTGAATATCTTTTTGCCAGTACTTTAGCACTGTCAACGAGAAATCTCATAAACCGGATGAATAGGGTATTGTGGTAAGTTGGTATGAGAATTTACACGATACGACATCAAGAAAACAAGAAGACAAGTATTATACTGGCTCAGGCCCCTCATAAGGTAATAGCTCTAGTCCAGTTTATATGAGATTGATATGGAAAACTACATATTAGAATAGAGAACAATCAATCCCAAGATTGGCGGCGAGACCCCTCGTCGAGATGATTTCGACGAGATCTCCCGGTGAGTAGGCTTCACGTCCTCCGGATTGTAGGCTATGGTGGTGGTATTGGCGCTATGATTCGATGATCTGGATCCCTCAGGGGATGTATCTTTTATACCGTGAATCACCTTAGTCTCCAAGTAGAACTCGGAGACTACGGACCCTGCACGATATAATATAAACCCAATCCTCAAGGTAGGGCTCTACTATTCACTTGTCCATGAGGATAATTTTCATAGTCTCTTGTCATTTTCCTTGTTGTATATGGAAGTATATCGTACATACGAAGGTATGTCGTATCTGTATATTTCATATGTCATAGGATAGTAAGTATGCCTTATTCGTAACTATGACAGGTACGTCATCCGTATATGAGTCGGTTTTAAGTTCGTTCTCTTTTGAAAATACATATCCGTATTTGAGTCAGTTTTTAAAGTTCGTTTATTTTTTAAAATATAGAAGGAGTCGTATAAGAAATCTATTTAAAAAAATTACATGCTAGCTTGAGACGATCGGATTCCTAATTGCAGCTCATGATTTTCTAAAAAAAATATGTCCAATCGAATTCCTATGGCGAATTTCACCTTAACTAAACCGTATAATAATATTATTATTAAAATAATCTTCACCCGTTGCAACGCACAAATATTTTTTTCTAGTTATCAAATAAATAAAAGGAGTTAGACTTTGAAACTAGACCGGCTAGCCTATCATCTTATGGAGCTAGCTATAAAACCCCTGACCGTTCCGCGGATTTTCTCAAACTAGAAAAACGTTGCTACGTACTGTTGTCGCACCTAGTGCTAGTCACGTGTAGTACGTTGCTTAGCTGGATTTGTATAAATGAGGGTATTGGCAGTTAACACCTGGCGGGGGATGCGAGAATATTAGCAGCGTACTTCTTATATTAACTTTGGGGGCTTAGATGCTTAGTGATCACGATGTTCTATGCACAAAGACTAGCTACAGTCTTAGTTAATTGAGGCTAAGATTGTTGATGCAGATTGGATGGAGTATTCAAAAAATAATCCATTAGTTGATGCAGATCGATCTGACCATTAATCGAGGCTAGCTACAGTCTTAGTTAATTGATCACTTGTTCTTATAATTCGTTTAATTACCAACAAGTTGGTCAACTAATCTCGTCCAGTACAAGGTATAAAAGTCACCCTACTGAATTCATGAAATAATCTCGGGAAAGATATATCGTTCGATTCTCCAAACATTACGATCCAATGGGCGATCAAGTAGTTAGAATCATTTAAGAAAAAAATAGAAAAGATGGCCTCTTGGGTTGCCTTGCGTGGGGAGGCTCCCTAGCCCTAGCCCGCCTCCTCATCCGATCTGCTCCGCCTCCACCATAGCCATCGGCACTGGTGGGCGGCGGATGTAGATCGGACATTTAATGCTCCATGCATGTGTTTAAATATTTGATGTAATATTTTTGGCCAAATATTTTGAGATCTAAATACACCCAGAATCTTCAGTTCCTCAAACAGTCCATATTATTACTCAAATTTTTTTTTTAGAATTCAGAAAATGAAGAATCCAAAAGCTGAAAAACCCAGCATCTCTAAATTTTCTAAGGGACTAGCTTAAAAAACTGTCGAGTGTTTTTTGAGGGGAAAACTTTTAAATCTAACTATAGTATATAATTTCACTAGAACTATACTATAATAATAACTGGTACATATATGTATTAAAATAATATATACAACTTTATATCTAATTTATATAGAGATAACAATATAGTTATAGTGTAGTTACACTATAGTTACAATATAATTACAATGTAATTATAGTGTAACTACAATGTAACTAGCATATAACTGAAATGCAATTTAGATGTAACATGAACAAATTTACCATATACATGTGATGATGTGGCTAGCTTATGAAAAGAGGGTTTAGATCCGGTAGCAAAATATCTCAGCACAAATCTTAAAGCGAAATCGACGGCCTAAAAATTTGTCGACAGTCATTTAGCAGTTTCGATTTTCTAAAGTTGGTTACCAACCAGTAAAATATGAAATCTGCGGCTCCCCTAAACAGGGCCCAACAATCAGCCAGCTATTGAGCAGCAACAGCAAGCAAAATGCAAACATTTAAACTCCATTGCTTAGATACAAAATCGTTTGAGCTTTGATTTGATCCAAGCTAACCCACCAGCCATGGCGGAGGTTGTACAGCTCCACCACCTCATCTTGCTTCTGCCGCTGTTCATCCTCCCCTTCCTCCTCCTCCGTTCGTCGCGCCGCCGGCGTGGCGCCTGCGGCCGGCTACCACCGTCGCCATGGGCACTCCCGGTGATCGGCCACCTCCACCACCTAGCCGGGGCGCTCCCGCACCGCGCCATGCGCGACATTGCGCGGCGCCACGGCCCACTCGTGCTGCTCCGGCTCGGCGAGCTCCCCGTCGTCGTCGCCTCCTCCGCGGACGCCGCGCGCGACGTCATGAAGACGCACGACCTCGCCTTCGCGACGCGCCCCATCACCCGCATGATGCGCCTCGTCTTCCCCGAGGGCTCCGAGGGGATCATCTTCTCGCCCTACGGCGAGACGTGGAGGCAGCTCCGCAAGATCTGCACCGTCGAGCTGCTCAGCGCCAGGCGCGTCAATTCCTTCCGGTCCGTCCGCGAGGAGGAGGTCAACCGGCTGCTCCGGGCGGTGGCGGCGGCCGCGGCGTCGGCAACCTCGCCGGCGAAGACGGTGAACCTCAGCGAGCTGATGTCGGCCTACGCCGCCGACTCGTCTGTGCGCGCCATGATCGGGAGGCGGTGCAAGGACCGGGACAAGTTCTTGGCGATGCTCGAGCGAGGGATCAAGCTGTTCGTGACGCCGAGCTTGCCGGACCTGTACCCGTCGTCGCGCCTCGCCATGGTCGTCAGCAGGATGCCTCGCCGGATGAGGCGGCACCGCGAGGAGGTGTTCGCGTTCTTGGACGCCATTATCGCGGAGCACCAAGAAAACAGAGCCTCCGGGGAAGATGAGGAGGACTTGCTCGACGTGCTCCTGAGGATCCAGAGAGAAGGTTGCATGGAGTCCACTGTTATCCACCGAATCCATCAGGACAACAATTGGAGGAAGTACTCCCATGAACACACAAATAACTCAAAAAAAAGTACAATCGTAATTTCACGCGAATAGCAAATATCATCGCCATCTATAGTTATACTCTGTAATCTCTATCTCTACTATTACAAAAAATTAAAGATATTTTTGTCGGTATTTTGGTCCGTCATCTGTGTATGAGTTGGTTTTCAAGTTCGTTCGCTTTTAAAAATACAGATCCGTATTTGAGTCGGGTTTTAAGTTAGTTCACTTTTGGAAATACAGAAAGAGTCGTATAAGAAGTCTTTTTAAAAAGCTCGCATGCTAATTTGAGATGACCAGATTTCTAATTGCAGCTTATGATTTTCTAGAAAAATATATATCGAAACGAATTCTCACAGTGAATTTCACCTTAACTAAACCATATAATAATAATAAGATAAAAATAATCTTTATCCGTTGCAACGTACGAGCATTTTTTTTCTAGTAATAACCTGCCACTTTGTAGGACACACAAACGAGAGATTTTGCTTATTTCCTAACCCCCACAAATCCTAAGAGCTCTAGCTCAATAGGCACCTAAAAAGTAACAGCAAAATTAACATAATCATATATAATATATTAGATAATAAAAATAATTTGTTATGGGCTTCAAAAAATATATACAATGAGCTATTTTTATTAAAAGAAATCCGTTGTAACTTAGTAGTGTTATGCTAGTAAGAATAACGCGTGAGGACTGAACCTACACGTCAATGACACATATATACTATAATTTTGTTTTTTGATACAATGATATTTTTCAGCACCATAATTTTTTTACAGGGTTACCAAGCAAATTAGCAAAAAGTTACCATGGCTTTTCCACAAAATGTAGTTACCTGAAAATTTGGCTTCATGGTACACAGGACTTGTTCAATGGGGGCAGTGAGACGACAGCGACGACGCTACAATGGATTATGGCTAAACTCATGAGAAACCCAAGAGTTATGCAAAAAGCACAAGATGAGGTCCAACGAGTATTCATTGGTCAGCACAAAGTCACAGAAGAAAACCTAAGCAATTTGAGTTACATGTACTTGGTCATCAAAGAGGCGCTCCGGCTGCACCCGCCAAGACCACCACTGCTGCCACGAGAGTGTCGAACTACTTGCCAAGTGCTAGGGTTCGATGTGCCTAAAGGAACAATAGTGCTCGTGAATATGTGGGCTATAAATAGGGATCCTAAGTACTGGGACCAATCAGAAGAGTTTATACTAGAGAGATTTGAGCATGTTGATATCAATTTCAAAGGGATGAACTTTGAGTATATGCCGTTTGGAGCGGGACGACGGATGTGCCCTGGGATGGCATTTGGTCTAGTGAATTTAGAGCTCGTACTAGCGAGTCTCTTATATCACTTTGACTGGAAGTTATCTGACAAAATAAGTCGGTGACCTAGACATGACGCAGGAGAGGGGGGCCACCACACGGCGACTCCATGATCTTTTGCTTGTCCCTGTGATTCGAGTGCCGTTACCGTTAGACTCGCGCAGCTAGCTAGGTGCTAGATAAGTAGCTTGTGATTTTTTATTTCTTGATAAAGCGACCAAATATATTGGTTCACTAATGTTTACCTATGTTCAAACCTTAACAATTAAATTATTACAAAACTACTTCAACTCACTGTGCAATTAATTACATTTGTACATTCCGATATGTATTTTAATATACAGTTTCTCTGTGCTATTCATCTTTTGTTATTGTTATATTTGCAGATTTATGTGTCATATTTATTAGACGAAAAGAAGTAGAATACAACACACCACATATGTCCGGCGGCTTCTCTGGATAGGAAGAAAAAGAAGCATGCAGCTACATGCAACTTCCCTACTTCCTCTGGATCCACTTTCATGGCAAATCTTAAACTGGTGTGACAAACAAGGACCGTACGTAGTTTCTTTTCCTTTCTCCTTAATATATAAAAAAAGTAGGATCCCATATATTATAGAATGGACGGAGCGTGTGGATCCATATATACACCCCTATGTGTTGCCAGTGGAGAGCAATATTCGACTGCTCTTGGAATATCGTCAATCACCTAGACTGTGGAAAAGACACTTTCATGGCAAATCTCAAACTGGTGTGACAAATAAGGACCGTACGTAGTTTCTTTTCCTTTCTCCTTAATATAAAAAAAAAGTAGGATACCATATATTATAGAATGGACGGAGTGTGGATCCATGTATACACCCCTATGTGAAGGTTGCCAGTGGAGAGCAATATTCGACCGCTCTTGGAATATCGTCAATCACCTAGACTGGGGAAAAGATGTTGTCAAAGACATAAGCGCGCGTTGTGCTACCTCCAAAGCTATTCCAAGTGACCAGAAGGATAAGAGAATCGAAGCTCCGGAGGATAATTTTCATAATCTCTTATCAATTTCCTTATTGTATATAGAAGTATATCGTACATACAAAGGTATGTTGTATCCGTATATTTCATAGGTCATAGGATAGGAAGTATGTATTATCCGTAATCATGATAGGTACGTCATCCGTATATGAGTCGGTTTTTAAATTCGTTCGCTTTTGGAAATACATATTCATATTTGAGTTAGTTTTTAAGTTTGTTCGCTTTTGAAAATATAGAAGGAGTTGTATAAGAAATCTATTTAAAAAGAATTGCATGCTAACTTGAGAAGATCGGATTCCTAATTATAGCTCATGATTTTAAAAAAATATATATATCCAATCGAATTTTAGTGAATTTTACCTTAACTAAACCATATAATAATAATAAGATTAAAATAGTCTTCACATGTTGCAACGCATAGGCATTTTTTCTAGTTATCAAATAAATAAAAGGGGTTAGACTTCAAAACTAGACCTGCTAATCTATCACCTTGCGGAGCTAGCTATAGAACCCCTAAGCGTTCCTCGGATTTTCTTAAACTAGAAAAACGTTGCTACCGTTTGTCGCACCTAGTGCTAGTCACGTGTAGTACGTTGCTTAGATGGATTTGTATAAATGAGGGTATTGGCAGTTAACACCTGGCGGGGGATGCGAGAATATTAGCAGCTTACTTCTTATATTAACTTTGGCGGCTTAGATGCTTAGTACTCGTGATCACGATGTTCTATGCACAAAGACTACATTAGTATTCAAAAAATAATCCATTAGTTGATGCAGATCTGACCATTAATCGAGGCTAACTACAGTCTTAGTTAATTGATCACTTGTTCTTACAATTCGTTTAATTACCAACAGGTTGGTCAACCAATCTCGTCCAGTACAAGCTATGTATAAAAGTCACCATGCCTAATTCATGAAATAATCTCAGGAAAGATATATCCATTATTATATTGTTTGATTCCCCAAACACTACGATCCAATGGGCGATCAAGTAGTTAGAATCATTTAAGAAAAAAAAAATAGAAAAGACGGCCTCTTGGGTTGCCTTGCGTGGGGAGGCTCCCCAACCCTAGCCCGCCTCCTCATCCGATCTGCTCCGCCTCTACTATAGCCATCAGCAGTGGTGGGCGGCGGATGTAGATCGGAAAGATAAAACCATGGTGTGGACTAGTAGGGAGATCGACCGATAGTTCAGGCCTTCACCGTTGGTCCTCTATTTCAACCAGCAGATCGCTTTATTTAGTTTAACAAACAAGCGCCGCGAAGGTCATCGCATTGATTTGAACAAGATCCAATAAGGGAGATATGCCTACCTAATGAAGGCCACGATGGTGCCCTCCCATAAAGTGGTGCTAGTCTAATCGATGATGATACCAGGCGAGACACTTGGATATGTTCGTTGATAATTTTATTCCTATTTTCGGGAGTTCATTACAATGATGGCTTCTTCCATTTACCTAGTAGCGCTTTGTCCCAACGTGCTACAAATCATCACTGCTTGGTCTGTGTTGTTGGTGATCAGGCATTGGTTGCTACTACGTACGCAGGTAGCGACTTCTATTTTGATAAGGAAGATTCGTGGTTGCTAAAATCAGTTCAACAGCTACGATCAATTGTGAGCAGATCGTGCTCACCCAGAGTCGTCATTAGTACTCTGGGTGAAAACCCTAATATGGTTTATCTAGATTCGACAGCGTCGATGCTTGTTTATTATTTTCTTTATTGAAGGTGTTATCTCAAGCTCCCAATAAAAAAAATCTAGTCCTGTTTTTTTATGGCTGTGATAGACAAGCATTAGGTCCTTCTTGAAATCATTGTTTCAGAGTAGATGTGTATCACTTTATATTCTTGTCTAGATTATTGTGTTTTGTATGAGTTGATGTAAACAATATGATACGTTCATAGTTGCTTAGATTGTTTTCCTTTTCTTTTCTAGCTGTGTGTGCATTTCGGGTTGATGTAGAGACCGGGCGTAGTTATATTTTTAATGAAATTATTCTTATTATATTAAAAAATCGACAATCACCTAGTTACTATGACTATCACCTGTCTTGAGCCAGTTTGCATCGATAAACCACTTAGTAAGCCTGCCAAATTAAGAAAAACAAATTTAAGTGCGAAATTTCTATAATTTTTTTCTAAGTTTATGATAACCAACACGAAAACGCTAGGGAGCGGATTTCGGTGGGCAAACGGTTTTATAAAACCTGGTTAGAATACACATGGATTTAGGGCCATTAATTCTCATTCAAAAAGACTCGCTCGTGCAGAGGCGCAGAGCTGACAAGAATCAGCCAGCTATTGAGCTGCAACAGCAAACCAAATGAAAGCATTAATTTAAACTCCATTTCTGAGATACATGCATGTGAAGCTTTGATTTGATCCAAGCTAGCCCTCCAGCCATGAATATTCTGAGATGCATGAATTTTGAATCTTGCTTCTCCTGCTGTTCATCCTCCCCTTCACTGGTGGAGAAACCATCTTTAATCGATCCGGCAAAATCCACAATAGTCCCGGATCCAAAAAGAACCGGGAGTAAAGATTGTTTTTAGTCCCGGTTATAAAAATTATGATCTTTAGTCCCGGTTGGTTCTTTACTCCCGGTTCATCCCCTGTCAGATGTATGTCGGGGGCCAAGGATCTTTAGTCCCGATCGGTAACTCACCACTTTAATCACGGTTGGTACTACCAACCAGGACTAAAGATCAAGATGATCTTTAGTCCAGGTTGATAGTACCAACCGGGACTAAAATTAAACACGTAGTATATAATCCCTATCCCTTATCCTCTCCTCCACAGTTACAACTTAACAGATCGAATCTCACCCCCTCTCCTCAGATCTATCATCTCTAACTCTCTTCTCCAACTCCTCCCCTTCCTTCTCTCCTCCCCCTTCTCTCCCCTTCCTCCTCCCCTTCCCGGCCGGCCTCCCCTTCCCATCCGGCGGGCCGGCCGGCGGCGGGGCCGAGCGCTGCGGCGGCGGGCGGCGGGCGGCGGGGCGGCGCCCGGCGGGGTCGCGCCCGGCGGAGGGCGGCGGGCGGCGGCGCCGCGCGCGGCGGTGGGCGGCGGGGCCGCGTGCGGCGGCAGGCGTGGCGGGCGGCGAGGCTGCGCCCGGCGGCCGGCGTGGCGGGCGGCGGGGCCGCGTGCGGCGGCGGGCGGCAGGGCCGCGGCCGGCGGCCGGTGGGGCCGCGCCCGTCATTCGTGGCGACCGGCGGCGGCAGTGGCATTCTCTTTTTTTTTAATTTGTGATGATTCACTGAGATGTATTTGACTGAGAAGTTACAAATTTGTGATTCATTGTTTGGATCTGTGATGTATTTGAGTAATTTCTTAGGATATTGTGATGTATTTATTTGTGTGTATAAGTAACTTTGATTTGTGATGTAGATTTGAGATGTTACTTCGATTTGTGGATTGGGGGTTTGATTTGGAATATGTATCCCACGTGATTTGGGAGAAAATAAAAAAGAAAAAAAAAGAAAAAGGGGATCATCTCACTGCCGTAACCCTCTCTTTAGTCCCGGTTGGTGTTACTAACAGGGACTAAAGATCTATTTTTAGTCCCGGGTATTTGAACTGGGACTAAAGATAGCGATCTTTAGTCCCGGATTGGTAGTCCCAGTTTGAAAACCGGGACTACATGGGGTTGCGAACCGTGACTAAAAAGCATTTCTCCACCAGTGCTTCCTCCTACTCTGAAAATTCAAATATATATTCTCGACTATTCTAGAAACAAAAGTTAATAAGAGGCTGTGCCTCTGTGGTGGTACTATGCTGCTGTGAAACATGTGGAAATTAGTCAAACAATAGTCTTATTATGTGTGACTTCTAGTATTCTTATGCGTTTGGATTAGGGCATAAACTGCAGAGGAGCCACAGTGAAGTTGCATTAGGCCCATCTCTACACCATTAGATGAAACTCCGTGAAAGTCCAATGGTCCAGATCAGGTTCTACAGTAAAATACGCTACAGTACACCATCTGACCTGTCATACTGAGGGTTACTGTTTCTACGGTAATTAGGTGGTACCCCGCGCTTTGCTGCGGATTCATAGATGAGTATATGTTAAATATTGTCGAAATGATGAAAGTTGAAATGTTGAGAAAATAGTGCGAGGAAGATGATTTGACACATACTTGTTGATCTCTATGATATAATATTATATATGACGTGTCATGTTTGCATGGGAATTAAAATAAGCTGGAATAGTAATTGCTAGTGAGTGAAGATGTGTCATGCGTGCATGGAATTTTAAATGGGCTAGAATAGTACTAGTGGGTGATGATGTGGCATGCTTGCATGTTGAGCTTTAGCTTCTAATAATTGTTAGTGGGTACCAATTATATAGAAAGTATAGATCTACTGCAGACTAGTATGGCTAAAGACTCAAGACACTGTTGTAATAGTGTCTTTCTGCTGTTACAACAAAGACTAGGGCTGTCAACGAGCGAGCTCGGCTCCTAAGCACAAGCTCGAGTCAAGCCTATTGCACCTTCGAGCTTTTAGGCAAGCTCGGCTCGAGCTCGTTCGAGCTCGAGCTAAGCTACCGAGCTCAGTAATAAGTAGTGTAAGATATATTTTAGTGATAATCCATTGATAAGTATAATTATTTTCTAATTAATTAATAAAAGAGTAAAAAATGATTAAAATAAATATATTGTGCTAACACATGCTAATTTATTGTGTAAATAGATACTAATTAATATATATATATATATATATATATCCATTAGTTTATTAAATCAATAAGGTAAACAAACAATATAAACTATACGCTATGTATAAGCTCGGTAAACTCAGTAGAAGCTCAAGCTCGGCTCGATAAAGCTCGCAAGTTTTTGCTCAAGCTCGGGTTTGGCTCGTTTGGAGCTCGAATCGAGCCTAGAATTAGCCAAGCTCGAGCTACTTGCAAGCTTCGACCTTTTTTGACAGCCCTAACAGAGACTATTATTATACAAGTTCTCCCTCGTAATTTACTCCATTCAAATTCATATTACTAACATATGTCTAATTTATACTCTCTCTCCGTCCTAAAATATAAGCATTTGTAGGATAGTATTAAGTCAAACATTTTTAACTTTTAATAATTAATAAAAAAGATTAATCATGTAAAATCGATGTTACTAGATTTATCATTAAACGAATTATCATAATATGTAACTCTTTTTATTTAAAACATCTTATTTTTATAGATATTATATATTGATCAAAATAGTATCTCTAAGACTATATCGAAGTCTAAAATACTTATATTTTAGTACAGAGGAGTTTCGTATATTTTCAGACGGAGAGTACCAGATGCGTTCAGGAAGTCTTGACATTGCATTGCATGTCGATAGCATCGCATGTCGATAGCAGCTTATAAATAGGCAACCACGGACAAGACGAGCTTGCAGCTATCTACTGTAGCAACCACTGTAACGTGCAACACTTCAGTTCAGCAGCAAAGCAAATAAAAACAACACAAAGCTTCTCTGTTCTTTCTCTCCTCACGATCGAACACCATGGCGGCGGAGCTCGTTCACCTCCTCCGCTATCTGTTCTCGGTACCCATGCTGTTCTTCATCGTCCCCCTCCTCTTCCTCGTCTGTTCGCCGCGGCGCCGCCGTGGCCGCGGCAGCTGCAGGCTCCCGCCGTCGCCGTGGGCGCTCCCGGTGGTCGGTCACCTCCACCACCTGGCGGGCGCGCTCCAGCACCGCGCCATGCGCGACATCGCGCGGCGCCACGGCCCGCTCGTGCTGCTCCGGCTCGGCAGGCTCCCCGTCGTCGTCGCCTCCTCCGCGGACGCCGCGCGCGAGGTCATGAGGACGAGCGACGTCGCCTTCGCGGCGCGCCCCGTCAACCGGATGATCCGGGTGGTCTTCCCGGAGGGATCCGAGGGGGTCATCTTCGCGCCCTACGGCGAGACGTGGAGGCAGCTCCGCAAGATCTGCACCGCCGAGCTTCTCAGCGCCAGGCGCGTCCATTCCTTCCGGTCCGTCCGCGAGGAGGAGGCTGGCCGGATGCTCCGGGCGGTGGCGTCGGCGGCGGCGCAGACGACGGTGAACCTCAGCGAGCTGATGTCGGCCTACGCCGCCGACTCGTCGGCGCGCGCCATGATCGGGCGGCGGCTCAAGGACAGGGACACGTTCTTGGCGATGGTGGAGCGCGGGATCAAGCTGTTCGGCGAGCAGAGCTTGCCGAACCTGTACCCGTCATCGCGCCTCGCCGTGCTCCTCAGCACAATGCCTCGCCGGATGAAACGGCACCGCGAGAGAATGACGGCCTACCTGGACGCCATCATCGAGGAGCACCAAGAGAGCAGAGCGTCCCGGGAAGACGACGAGGACTTGCTCGACGTGCTTCTCAGGATCCAGAGAGAAGGTGACCTGGAGGTATCCAGAGAAAGCATCAGATCAACGATCGGAGTAAGTACCCTGAATCCATAAATAAAGCGTTTAAGAAAATTTCAAGTGTTGCAAACATATATAAATTTCAAGTGTTGCAAATAGACACAAATAATGGAATTTCGCGACTTCATGTGTTTTTTTTAACAGTGATGTCAATTAATTAAACTAGGGTATTGCTCTGCAGTTTGCACGAATCTAGATAATTCACGTAGAGTTAGATATAATATATAGCTCTGAAATTTTATTTCTATATATACTAGAAAAAATACCCGTGCGTTGTAACGGGTGAAGTCTATTTTAATCTTATTATTGTTATATGGTTTAGTTAAGATAAAATTCGTTATGAGAGTTTGCTTGGATATATATATATATATATATATATATATATATATATATATATATATATAGAAAATCATGAGCTGCAGGTAGGAGCAGGGGAGGATCCAACATGGGTGCAGGGGGACTTGAGTCCCCCAACACCCACCAGACCCATGGATACCCCCCTGAGTTCCTCCTAAAATTTTTTCGTCGTGGTTGATAAGATAGGAGGTGCTAAAGGTCTCTTAATAACATTTTAGCATAGTTTAATACTGAGATTATGTGTTTATATCGGTGTACACGGTATGTTGAGTCCCCCAACTTTTTGTTCCTGGATCCACCCCTGGTTAGGAGTCCGATCGTCTCAGGTTAGCATGTGAGTTTTTTTAAACAGATTTCTTATATGATTCCTTCTGTATTATCAAAAGTGAATGATCTTAAAAATGACTCAAATGCGGATATGTATTTTCAAAAGCAAACAAAGTTAAAAACAGACTCATACACGGATGGCGTACCATACAACTCTTACATTCTATTTCTATAGGCTTAAATTTCATATACAACCCTTAACTTATATTTCTATAGATGTAATTATATTTTGTATACAACTATATCAGTCAAACTATACCATTATAATTAATCTGAAACCAACAAAATCGGGTAGTTAAGATCATTTTTTTTATTAATGAGGAAGTTTCTAGCATTTACAACAGACGTGATGCCTCACTTCAAAACTGTTTTAATAATATAATAGATTGAAAAAATTGTTGCCATTGCATTTTCCATGAATATATGCTTACAAGTAATGAAATTTTGGCTTTGTATCGTGTAGGACATGTTCATTGGGGGCAGTGAGCCACCGGCCATAACACTGCAATGGATTATGGCTGAACTCATCAGAAACCCAGAAGTGATGCAAAAGGTACAAGATGAGGTTCGACAATTGCTTGTTGGACAGCACAGAGTCACAGAGGAAAGCCTAAGCAAACTGGGTTACATGAACTTAGTCATCAAGGAGACGCTACGGTTGCACCCTCCAGGACCACGACTACTATTGCGAGTGTGCCGAACCACTTGCCAAGTGTTAGGATTTGACGTTCCTAAAGGAACAATGGTGCTGGTAAATATGTGGGCTATAAACAGGGACCCTAAATATTGGAGCCAAGCAGAAGAGTTTATTCCAGAGAGATTTGAGAATGCTGGTATTAATTTCAAAGGAACAAACTTTGAGTATATGCCATTTGGAGCAGGGCGACGCATGTGTCCTGGGATGGCGTTTGGTCTAGCAACGTTAGAGCTCGCACTTGCGAGTCTCTTGTACCATTTTGACTGGAAGCTACCCGACGGGGTAGAGATTGACATGAAGGAGCAAAGTGGGGTCACAACACGGCGAGTACACGACCTTATGCTTGTTCCTATCATCCGAGTGCCATTACCAGTGTAGACGCACGTAGCTGCTATCTACGAGTTATTGAAGGGGAAAATATATAGTGCAAACCTAAAAACTAGCATAGGATCCAAAAATAGACGTCTAAGATTTGTCTACATCACACGGAGTAAAATTTTCACTCCAAATTTTAACCATGAGTAAAAGTTTTACTCATGGTGATGTATATGGATAAATCCCAAACATCCATTTTTTCTATTGTACGGTAATTTTCAGGTTTGCACTGTATATAGAGTTTGCGCTACATATTTGGATATTCCCCCTAGTGAAGCACCCCAACATCTTTGGGCACTACTGTTCATATAATAAGAGTTTGAACCCAAACAATTAATTATTTTTGGAACCAGTTCAATTGGCTGTGCAACTTACATGTGTAGGCCCCATTATGTATTTGAATATATAGTTCTATTTGCTATTCATCCTTATCATTTGTTTATATATAGTTTTATTATCGTCTCTTTTCCATACGGTTCTAATGGTTTGGGACTCTTTTCGAGTGCACTTATATTTTTCATACGGTTGTAATGTTTCGAAAAACTATCTAATACATACAACAAATCAATCTACATATGCAATTCATAATTATACTTCCTTCTAATTAATGTGGTAGTTTCTATCGCCTTGTGTGTAATTTGCGGAGCCCAAATAGCTAGCTGATACATGCAGGGGATCATGTAGTTCGGTTGAGCTGCTAACCACAGATCTTAGATCTGTCTAAACGTTCCGTTCGAACTTGCGATGAATGAACATTAAGTACGAGCATACAAAACGATAAATGCATTAGCTCATGATTAATTGAGCTTTTTATTTAAAACCTAAAAATAGATTTATCTGATATTTTAAAAAAAAATTTATATAGAAAGTTTTTGTATGAAATATATTGTTTTATCAGTTTAAAAAGAGTGATAAAAAATCAAGATAAAATTTGTATCTTAACGCGTAAAAAAAAGACATAAGTCCGCTAAACTTTGTCGCGAAGTTTGAAGGAACTCTGAACTCTGGAGTCCCCTAAACTTTGGTTAGTGAATGGAATGGCAGAAATGGAGGGATTGCTAGTGGATGGTAGATGGAGCATCAAGAAATTACTTGAAGCGTTCAGGTTTGCATATTTTAATGGTAGAATGTAATTGATCATGCATACATCCACAGTCAAATGGACTGAGAACCCAAACAACGGTTTTCATTATTATTATTATTATTATTATTATTATTATTATTATTATTATTATTATTATTATCATTATTATTATTATTATTATTACAAATGGAAGTATAACTTTCGGTCTATGCATCAACCAAGAATACACACAGCCATATTTCGGTAGGATTTCAACTTGGTAAATAAAGTCACCACATCGATGGTAGATTTGCAAATTTCAATCAGTCAAGAGCGGATCTAGCGTGGGACGGTGGGGGCTCGAGACTCCTACTGGCAATAAAACCATGAGAGCTCCCATAAAACCCTCACTAATTTTTTTTTATCATAGGGTCTGTTCACTTTGCCACCATCACTTTCAGCCCTACCATTTCTTTTGTTACTAAAATTTGGTAAGGTAACAAACTAAACAAACTCTTGCCATCATCACTTTACTAAAATTTGGCATTTCCTAAAACTTCTTCTCATACAAACACTAGTTTAGTAAGAACACATCCATCATATATAGTCAAAATTTGAGAACGCCAAAGTGTGCCAAAAATTTAACATTGTCTAGCTTATTCAAATCCCTAGCTCACTATTTTTTCTTGGATCTGTCACTAGTCACATCTAAATCTGCAGCCTGCAAAATTCTGCAATAAAAACGGTCACGTTTTTAAGTGTTCTGCTATGCAGAACAATTCTCCGAGAATACTGGGTGAAAGCGTATATGCACCAATTACGGATGCAAGCTGGAAGATACTCCAAAAACAGATCTGGGCGTCTTCCATAGTTTCAGAACTGAAACATGAATTCGATCAGACATGTCATGCCCAGTCTCTGAATTCTGATGCCTCAAATCACTCACTACATCCCCGAGACTAAAATCTGCCGCAGTGCTGCCCCGTTGGCCCAATCCTGTGCAGGCCCAAAAACTTTGGGCTGTAAATCTTGGTCTCCATGGACCAACGAGACCACCGTGCGGTGCGCCCATGCGAAAATTAAGGAGCCATATAGAACTACTACGTCGGCAGCGATAACTGCACGTTTGTGGCAGATCCAGCGGCGGCCCTCCTCCACGCGGATCTAGCGGCGGCTGCGCTCCCCCGCACCGATCCGACGGCGGCCGCCCTCCCCCACAAGGATCCGGCCCTCCACCGTCCTCCCTGGCGCGGATCCGGTGACAGAGGGTGACATTGGTGGTAGGGTGGCGAGGCGAAGCTCGTTGACTGCTATAGCGACGACAGACTACGGCTTGTGAGCACGACGACAGCATTGGTGGCGGCGACAAAGAGCTAGGGATTGGGCTAGCGGCGGGCTATGGTTTCTGCCGGTGGCAGGCTAGGGCTCAGGGATGAATCGAGGAGCTAGGGGTTTCAAATTTGATTTTTGGAATTTTTGTTTTTTGGCTAAAATTATTTTCGCATGAAAATCTTATTTTTGCATGCGGTTGTTTTGCTCATATATAAATTTTGATTTTCGCAGACACCAAGGTGCATCGAGCCACCCAGCTGACTACGGAAATCGGTTTTTGGCCATATGCAAAAATCGTCTTTTACTAGTGAATTCCCTATTAATTTAAGCAACTTATAAATAAAAATATTAATCAATATATTTAAAATATGATTAGAACTTAATATTTATAATATCAATAACTATCACCCATGAAACGTACATATTGACGATTTTTTATATTTAGGTATCAATTTTTTTTGGAAATTGCGGACATGTCTAGATGTCTAGATAGCTTTTGCTCAAAGGGGAGCCATTTTTGCTCTCTCTGAGGGGCAAGGATTTTCTAGGCTAGGTAGACTAATTTGCTAAGGAAAGTTAGTTTTTAAAGTAGTTTACCAAATGCCCAATCTAGCCTGTAAGGAGAGGAAGTTACTAGCCTAGAATCCAAACGTGCTCGCATCTTGCGATTGTATTCTAAGAATTAGAGGTTGAAAATATGAAGCCCTTAGTTTATTTTATTCCTTTTCACTTATCCTTTTGTTAAACAAGAGGCACCAGCGTGAATAAGGTCCTTTTTTTTAGGCTTCTAAGCTAACTTGTGAACTGAAAAATTTAAGCCCAGGTAGCTTTTTCATTTGGCGTTTTTAAAACCATAAGCTATTCTTACACGATTAAGAAAAACTAGATTGAAAAAACTTTTTATCCTTATGTGAGATGACAATATGATTTCACCATTAAACTTATGATATTAGATCCGCCAATTCATAAATCATGAAAGTCAAAAGACCGACTTAAAAGCTTAAACCAATAAATCTAAACCTAGAAAATGAGAGTGCTAAGTCTATAAGCAACGACGGCCGGCCAGGAGTGCCTTATATATAGTTTAACAGTCGATCGAGTAGCCGGCTAGCCCGTCGATAAATTTGTGATCTTTTGACAAAGTAGTGAGCTTTGACGGAATTTGTTTAACATTATTGTGTATATATGTCGCTCTTTTATGCATGCCGTAAGTTTGGAACCTTGGACTTCTACTAGATTTCTTCCGATCGAGCTCACATCACGTTTGTTTGCAGCTTTTGCGGGCTTTGACTAATTAATATGTGCATTTTTGGGTCAACTGATTTGAACAAGTAGTGGCATATGCAGCTTAGCCAGGACCGAACAGATCGCTATATACATTATGTTAACATACAGTTTTACCATGCTCTAGTGGTATAGATAATCTAATACTAATTTATTACATTAATTAAATTAGAGATCCAGCTACAGTAGTTAGTCTGATCTTATCTGAAAAAAATAAATGCCAGCTGCTACTACTACAAATTTCTTATTCTACATATATACAATTTGTAACATGCAATCTTATAGAAGCCACATGCACAGATGACATATTATCATTAAAAAAAATCTGCAAAGCGATTTTTGTGCTGATGAGATGATATGGCACTATCACCACCGTTACAACAGATTAAATATGATATAGTAAATACTCCCTTCGTTTGTAAATATTTAACATTTAGGATAATATTTTTATTAAATTGTACAGAGTGGCCACCAATGGTTTGTCAAGTGTTTAATTGAAAAAGGGAAAATGGTATATATGGCATAGATTTGTTTTCAAGTACTTTATATATTGTATCTACTAGCAAATATGCGCGTGTGTTGCATGGGATCTAGTAAGAGGGGTTAAATGTTCCGTTCCACTCTATTATACTCCCTCCGTCACATGATATAAGGGATTTTGATTTTTTGCTTGCACTGTTTGACCATTCGTCTTATTTAAAAAATTTTAGAATTATTATTTATTTTATTTGTGACTTACTTTATTATCCAAAGTATTTTAACCACAACTTTTCATTTTTTATATTTGCACAAATTTTTTTAATAAGACGAGTGGTCATACAATACAAGCAAAAAGTCAAAATCTCTTATATTATGGGACGGAGGGAGTAGTATGTTTTCAGTTTTTCTTAGTGTGTTTCAACTTTTTTTTCTATGGTTGTTTTCTCTATTTTTGTGTACGTTCACCGGTTTTTCAGAAACTTTTTTTTTAGTAGACGGATTGACAAAACTCTGCTTTTGCCCTTCCTGCATTATAGGAATTACTTGGAGTGAAAAGCTTGGACACCATACGCTGATCCCTTGTGGTGGCGGTACAACACAATAATTGAGAAATCCATTCAACATATAATGGTCATGCTTGTGCGATCAAAGCGTGGGCTCCTGTTCTACTCCCATCGTATCCTCAACTACACTGTTTCCTCATCTTCATCAAACTGCTTCCACTGTTGGGCCTTACTAATGCCTAGCGACACCGACCACTTTGCCTCCCATTACGAGTATCTCCACACTCTACATCGCTGCCTTAAATGTCGCGTAGGCCTACCCGACACCACCAACATGGCCTCTGTCGGCGTATGGGTCACCGTCAGCGGCCACTTCAAGCTTCCAGGCACCAGGCGCTTCCTCAAGAATATATTATTCAAATTATCAGATGTATTATTTCTTAAATTGGGTGTTTGTTCGTTCATGACTTCATGTAGATCGAATCCATGTGTATATTAAAAAGAGTGAACCTACTTTAATTAAATATTAATTTATATTTTCTAGTTATCATGGGTCCACATGTCATATGGATTATGATGCTTGTTACTATTATACACTTTGTTATATTAATGACTCGGTTATTTCCTAATTCACGAGTTGGCGATCCTTTGACGTCATTTAAATTGTAAACTTACCGATGGAGCAGAACCAAAATAGGATATGATTTATGGTTGTGCGCCTGGCGTGGGAAGGCAAATGGGATGTGCTGAGTGTGGATCCTATTGGATTCTGACACGTGGGATGCTTCATCATCGACGTGGAAGCGGTGAATTTTGGTTTGGGAGCAATCAGACTCGCACGTGTTGCTAGGGCGCCAGTGCAGAAACACGAAAATCGTTAATGTACGCCATACAACCACGAATAATAGAAACACTACTAGAGATGGCAGTGGGGTCCCGTTCACCGTTTCCCTACGGTGAATTCATCTATTAGGTGACGGTGATGGTTAATATGTATCCACTATGGGGGATGAAATGGTTACAAACTTATTACCATCGAGGATGACGGGGGCAGGGACGGTGCACGATTCCCTGTCCCCGCCCCCGCGGTGACCCGACTTTACTATATAGAGGACTAATTCTAGACTTTTTATACATTTTGGCCCATAATACTGAAGCCCATTTAATAGGTATATATATAAAACCTAACCCTAAGTCAACCGGTCAAACTCCATAATCCAAATCCTCAGATCCAGTCTCTCCTCCAGTCCTCCTGCTCTCGGTTGCGGCGCTGCACCTGCGTGCATCGCCAGTTCGCCACTCTGCCAGCCACCAGGCACACCGCCGTGCACTGCCACTCCCTAGCCACCAGGAGCACCACTGCTCGAAACGCGCACGCCGCCGCCTCCTCTTGCGTGGCACAGGCACGGGTGTTGTCCCGTCCCTCCGTCGACTCGCTGCCGAGAGCACCGCCGAGAGCGCCGGTGTCGCGCCGCGCAGCGCCTGCGGCTGTCGTCGCGCCGCCGGGAGCCACCAACGCCCTCCATCGCCACTCGCCAGCACGCCGTCCGCTGCCACGTCGTCCGCTGTAACCACGGGGATAAATTCACCACGTGGTGATCGGGACTGGAGAAATGTAGCCCCGTTATGGTTGACGGGGCGGGGATGGTGAAATTTTATCACCATGGGGACGGGGACGTGGATGTGACCCCTGACGGTGAATTCCCCGTTGCCATCTCTAAACACTACAAATATTTTAAATATGTAAAGATAAAGATAAAGAAAAAATGAGATCATGATGAAAGAAAATATGAACGATGTGGTGAGACATGTTTTCGTCTTTTTTTATTATAGATCACTGTCCTTTTTTAATTAGAAATTTAAATTGTTTGTTTATTTTATAGAAACCAACAAGAAAAAAAGAGATCGGAAGGGAAAGAAGCGAAGCAAGCGCAGCCGCTCAGGGTGGGGTGGTCTTTTGGTGGTTAGATCTTTTGTCCTTCTGTGATTAGGAATTTAGATGGTTTATTTCCACTACTAAAAAAAACCCATATAGGGACCGGTCTTATAGGTGCCGGTTCATTTAAAACCGACACCTATAGGCCTTTTCCAACCTAGCTTCGCACTATGAATAAAATAAAGAATCGACACCTTTAAGCATTATAAGTACCAGTTCTCAAGAAAAACCGATAACAATAATATGAGTGCCAGTTCTAGCACAAAAACCGGTACAAATATTATAGGTGCCGGTTTTTTTAAAAGAACCGACACCTATAATATAAATATAGGTGCCGGTTCTACTTAGAAAAAACCGACCGGTCGACGTCCTTATCCACTCGCATCTCTTGATCGGTCGCTCTACCTCATCCACTCGCTCCTCTCACTCCTCACTCCATCCACTCGCATCCCCCTCCCCTCTCGCCCTCTCCCGCCTCCTCCTCCTTCTCCTGGCAGCGATGCGCTGACAGCGGCAGCGATCGCAAGGAGGCAGCGGCAGTGGCCCCTTCTCCAGCGGCGGCTACCCCCTTCTCCTTGCAGCGGTACCTTCTCCCGGTAGCGGTGGCGGCTGCAAGGAGACAGCGGCGGCGGCCGCAAGGAGGCAGTGGTGGAGGTCCCCTTCTCATTGCAGCGGCGGTGGCCCCTTCTTCTGGTAGATATCATGCCAACGTCAGCGAGATGTCAGCATGAAACCTAGGCACAGATGCCATGCTTCTTCCATGTTCTCATGTTGAAAATTCATGCCAATTATTTCTATCACACTCAATGACGATTGCGGCGGCGAAGCCTGCAATTAACACTACATATTGCCTTGTGCAGGTGATATCATCACCAATTCACCATTAGCTATCTTACTTGCCTCCTATAAATACCCTCAGCCGGAAGGGTTATTCGTATGCATCAAAAACACACAACGCTAACTCATCACGAGTTTGATACACATAGTAATCCTACGTAATCAAGCTTAGATTGTGTTAATCAACTCAATACTGCAAAAAATCGTTTTTGCAGGCGGTCAAATTAGGGTAAATTAAGTGACTGTAAGCTTTGTTAAACGCCATGGATTTGATGAAGAGTAATCCGCTTCAGGGGAGCCCATGGAGCTTGTTGAACTTGCTGGTATTGATCATTGTCGCCGCCATGATCTGCGGCGAGCTATGTCGTCGTCGTCGTCGTCGTCGTGGCGACGAGAATGGTGGCGCCACGAGGCTGCCTCCGGGGCCATGGCGGCTGCCGTTCGTCGGCAGCCTGCACCACCTCGCGGTGATGAGGCCGCGCGGGGTGGTGGTGCACCGCGCGCTGGCCGAGCTGGCGCGGCGGCACGACGCCCCCGTCATGTACCTCCGCCTCGGCGAGCTCCCCGTCGTGGTGGCGTCGTCGCCGGAGGCCGCGCGCGAGGTCCTCAAGACGCACGACGCGGCGTTCGCCACCCGCGCCATGAGCGTCACGGTGAGGGAGTCCATCGGCGACAAGGTCGGCATCCTCTTCTCCCCCTACGGCAAGAAGTGGCGCCAGCTCCGCGGCATCTGCACCCTCGAGCTGCTCAGCGTGAAGCGGGTGCGCTCGTTCCGCCCCATCCGGGAGGAGCAGGTCGCCCGCCTCGTCGACGCCATCGCCGCCGCCGCGGCGTCGTCCACGGCGGAGGCGGCGGCGGTGAACATCAGCAGGCAGATCACCGGGCCGATGACGGACCTGGCGCTGCGCGCAATCATGGGGGAGTGCTTCCGGTGGCGGGAGGAGTTCCTGGAGACGCTGGCGGAGGCGCTCAAGAAGACGACCGGGCTCGGCGTCGCCGACATGTTCCCGTCGTCGCGGCTCCTCCGCGCCGTCGGGAGCACGGTGCGCGACGTGAAGCTGCTGAACGCCAAGCTGTTCGAGCTGGTGGAGTGCGCCATCGAGCAGCATCGGGAGCAGATTAGAGCGGCTCACGACAACGGCGGCGACGACGACGACGCGCATGGCCATGGCGACAAGGAGTGCTTCCTGAATACTCTGATGAGAATTCAGAAGGAAGGTGATGATCTTGATGACACTCACCATGGCAACCGTCAAAGCTGTCATTCTTGTAAGTATCTACACTACACTAGCTACTACCTCCATCAATTTTTATAGGACTTGCTTTATTTTGAAAAAATCATCGATACTTTTATTAATAGACGTGAAGCTATATTATTTTGTATGTAGTGCCTATATTTCAGGCGCCTAAAATTTCTTAAAAAATTGTTACTTTTTCATCCCTAAGATAAACAATCCAATGGTTCTCATCACTTATCTATCACTACTTCCATCCCATAATATAGTAAATAGTACCATATGATAAGACATATTCCGGTACCACGAATCTGAATAACTCATGTCTAAATTTGTAGTCCTAAAATATCTCATGCAGTACTAGCTAGGTTACTATGGTATAGGATGGAGGGAGTATTTATTACTTATAATTCTCCCATGGTTGGTTAATAAATTATTCTAACAAAAACTTTACAATATTACATCAAACCAACTTATAACTCATTAAAATTTACAAAATTGCATGCAAAAAAATTCAGAAAAAGACGCAAATAAAGTAAAATTAATCATGTGTAACTCCAAAATTGTAGTTAAGATGAACTTAAATTCCATATTGAATAAGGCTTAGTAATATGAAATTTTAGGTTACCGAAAATATACAAATTTTTAGGCATCTAAAATCTAGCAAATCTCTATTTAATTTCTAAGAGTCGTTTGCAATATGAATCTATTGGTACACTAAATATACTTGCAATTTGACAAAATTATTGACAACATAAAGTGGCAAGTATAGATTTGTGTCTTGAAAAGAATTTCATAATCTCCAAAGATTTATTAGATTTCATAAAATTATCCAATATATAAAATTATGGTCAAAGTCACACTTTAAATACCGTGGAAAAAACTCCAATGTCAAGTATCTTTTATCAGAGGGAGTATATATTTATGTATATATGGCTTCCCGCCTTGTGCTTTCCTTCCTATCCTCCATCAACAGAATGTATAAATTTTATGTAGCACTGTAAATATGCATGTTTCCTTTTAACATGCACTAACATATGCATGACATGCATTGGCCAGGACATGTTTGCAGGTGGAAGTGAATCAACATCAACAACACTTGAATGGGCCCTGTCAGAGCTTGTGAGGAACCCTCATGTGATGCAAAAGGCACAAGCAGAGATACGACATGCTTTGCAAGGCAGGACTAGGGTAACTGAAGATGATTTAATTAATTTAAAGTACCCAAAGAACATAATCAAGGAAACACTACGGTTACACCCTGTAGCACCTCTACTTGTCCCAAAAGAGTGTCAGGAGTCGTGTAAAATCCTCGGCTATGATGTTCCTAAGGGAACAATCATGTTCGTAAATGCATGGGCTATCGGCAGAGACCCTAGATATTGGAACGATGCAGAAGTGTTTATGCCAGAGCGTTTTGAGAAAGTTGCAGTTGATTTCAGAGGCACAAACTTTGAGTTCAAACCATTTGGAGCAGGACGGAGGATGTGCCCAGGAATAACATTTGCAAATGCAACAATCGAAATGGCCCTCACTGCTCTTCTATACCACTTCGATTGGCATCTCCCTCCAGGTGTAACACCGGATGGGTTGGACATGGAGGAGGAATTCGGCATGAGCGTTTCAAGGAAAAGGGATCTTTATCTACGACCGACACTCCATATGGGACTTGAAACAATATGATGAATACACGCGTGTTGTCATGGAAAATGTTGATAATAGCCGAATGGTGTATGTACCTAGTAGAAAAAAAATACTTTCTGCAAATTATAGTACCTATACTTACAAGATGTTTGGGAGGTAGGAACTCCTGAGATATTCAGATATTCCAGAGCTCCGAGTGCATTAGTATAGAAATTCATGCACGAACACAATATATATAAGGCGTTGCTGTCATGTACAAGAGCTGTGTTTTTTAAAGATAAAAGTACTGTACGTTTCCAGTTGTAATGTAACAAAAGTTTGCAAGATATATGCACCTTTTGAAAAATTGAAACATGAGTACTGCATCTCAACGTACATTGCAATATAATTTGTCTTTTATACCTGAATTAATTTGTGCCTCAAGCTAGTACCGCGTGAAGAAAATGCCATGTGGATCGATGAGAACAGCTGATCTCCTACATTAAGGTCAACTCTTAGACTTAAAAAAAGGTGATTTGATAGTGAATCACCGAACTATACTATATATTGTGTGAAGTAATACTCAATCCAAGAAGAACGGAAATTTGGGTAATAAAGACAAACTCGTGTGTTAAGTGCATGCATACGTAATTAAGCACCGATGAAATAGCCGCTTAGGAGTCAAAATGATTCTTTTATTTTGAAGAAAATTTGAAACGAAATTCTAAGTTGACTTAAAAAGCTGACTCTGTTTTTTTCTGACTGCTGACTCTGTTAATTATTTTCTATCAATCACCCATTGTTTTTTATCTAAAACCAATCTCTGTTTTGAAGTAAATGCAGATGCAGAAGTAGCATAGTACAGGTTTACAGGCTCATGGAGTATACAACTCAGAAAACACAATTACAAGGGTCTAAGTAATGAAATCATCAAAAGCTAGTGTTCTTATCTTCTAAAAAAAACTAGTGCTCTTTTGAAAGTCAAAATAAGGACAAATTTCAACTTAGTTCGTACATCCGAAGCCAAGAAATTTGATTGAATTTCGACAAAGAAATCAACCGTCTCATCTAGCTCGTCTCCGTGTTAGGAACAGGAACACTAACAGTAGCATGCAGCCACAGATCGCTCTTCCTCCTCGCCGTGATCCCGAGCCCCTCCGCCATGTCCAGCTCGCCGGCGGCGGTGCCTCCGGCGAGCTCCCAGTCGAAGTGGAAGAGGAGGCTCGCGAGCCCGAGCTCCATGATGGCGACGGCGAATGCCACGCCGGGGCACATCCTCCGGCCGGCCCCGAACGGCACGAACTCGAAGTCCGTCCCCTTGAAGTCCACCGCGCCGCCGTCGAACCTCTCCGGCCTGAACTCCTCGGCGTCGGGGCCCCAGACCGCGGTGTCGCGGCAGATCGCCCACGCGTTGACGAGCACCATGGCACGCTCCGGCACGTCGTAGCCGAGCACGCGGAGGCGTGGCTCCTGGCACTCCCGCGGGAGGAGGAGTGGCACCGCGACGTGGAGGCGGAGCGTCTCCTTGATGACGAGGTGGAGGTAGTGGAGGTCCGGGAGGGCGTCCTCCGTGACGTGGGAGTGCCCGGCGAGGACGCCGCGCACCTCCGCCTGCGCCTTGCGGAGCGCCGCCGGGTTCCGCATCAGCTCCGCCATCGCCCATTGCAGCGTCGTCCCCGTCGTCTCGCTCCCCGCGCTGAAGAGATCCTACATGGTGGACGGCGACGGCTTGTCAATTTCGTCGAACACCTTGGAGGGAGAAGAATTTGGTCGAACACTTGTGGGGAGAGAGGGTGGGAGAGCTTACGATGATTATGGCACGGATGGTGCCCATGTCGAGAGGGATCTGGAGGCCGCCATCCTTCTGGATCCGGAGGAGCACGTCGAGGAGGTCCTCGTCTTCCTCGTCGCGCCACCCGGTGGCGGCCCTCCTCTGGCGGTGCTCCTCGATGACGCCGTCCATGAGACGGGTCATCTCGCGGCTGTGCGCCTCGGCCCGCCGCGCCGTCCCGCTGAGCGCGCGGGCGAGGCGCGACGACGGGAACACGTCGGCGAGGGTGAACCCGGCGGCCACCTTGACGCCCTCCTCCAGCCTCTCCAAGAACGCGTCGCGGTCACTGATCCGGTCACCCACCACCGCCCGCACCACGGCGTCGGTCACGTACCTGGCGACGAGGGAGCTGACGTTCACCGGCTCGGGCGTCGTCGTCGACAGCGACGCGACGAGGGCGGCGGCCTCGGCCTCGCGGGCGCGGCGGAGGCAGCGGACGCGGCGGGCGCCGAGGAGCTCCGTGACGCAGAGCTTGCGGAGGCAGCGCCAGTGCTCCCCCTGCGGCGCGAACGCGACGCCGAGGCCGTCGCGGGTGAGCGCGCGGAGCGTCGCTGTCTGCGGCCGCGTGGCGAAGGCGGCGTCGTGGGTCCTCATCACCTCCCTCGCCGCGGCGGGCGACGACGCCACGACGACGGGGAGCTCGCCGAGCCGGAGCAGCATGAGCTCGCCGTGGCGGGTGGCAAGGTCACGCAGCGCGCGGTGAGGAAGCGCGCCGGCGAGGTGGTGCAGGCTGCCGATGACCGGCAGCTGCCATGGCCCCGGAGGCGGGTTCTCGCCATTGTTGCGTGGCCTGAGCTTGACGAAGGCGAGAGATAGTATCAGTAGAGTGGCCAAGAAGAGATACTGCTCCATGTTTCTCTGTTTCAGCTTTGCAGTGGTTGCAAACTTTGCAATGAGAAAGCAAGCTTTATAATTTTGCAATGAGAAAGCAAGCTTGAGAAGATGCCAAAAGAAAAATTGAAATCAGAATGACGCCCAATTCAAATGTTTTTGTATTTCTAAATTCAAATTTCCAGCTGATTAAGGGTATCGACCGGTAAACTCAGAACTTTCAGATATTTTGTTCAGGAATTGAGTTTTTTTTTCAAACGGCTAATCAGATTGACGGCGTTATATTAATAGAGGGAAGTTTAGTTATACATCCAAACGCTAAAAGTAAGGAAAAAACTGTACATGTGTAACTGTAACATGCTTGCACGTCAATCCTCCTTACTCCTCGTGACAACAATTTTCCCATGTGTTTTGCACTGGCCAAACCCCAGCATCATAGCTCATCATCTTGGAAACGAATAATTATTTGATGATTTGTAGCTTCCTTTTCTCTAAACATTCTCGCATTATTCCTTTCTTTCCCCATTTTCCAGTCAATGAGAAAAAGGCTGATTTAAGGCCCTTTTTTTTCCCCTTCGGGTGGCTTGTCTCATGTGTCCTTCAATCCAATAAATCTCTACTGCTGTTCCAGCTTGGGATGCTCTATCCAAAAATATGTGAGGATGTCAAACTAGATTTGCTTTGAGATTGGGCATTATTCGTTCAGGAATAGCTAGCCATGTCACAAGCTAGCTGGATACACGACCAGCCATATTAAACGAGCAGGAGAATGGCGAGTGATTAGTATATTACTCCATATGGAGACAAGTAGTCAAGCCCTGCAGCAAAGGCCATGTTTACTTAGGGATGCAATTATTTTGAAACCTAAGCCAGCTTTTGCTGGTTTTATAATAAGAGAGGGAGAAACTGTACAAAGGGATGCAATTTCGCTTGTGCATAAACCTTATAACATGCAGTAGATGCTTTGAACAGATTATTAATTGTTTACGGACGATATTGTATTTAAACATGCAGTACATGCTCGGAACAGATTGTTAATTGTTTACGGACGATATCGTATTTAAAGATGAGCATGTGAATTGCGATTGGACTATAGTATATCATGCTATAGAAGATTAGTATTCAGATCAAGAAGCATTGTGGCAGCTAAAACAAAGGGCATACATATATTATTCTGTCATTTTACACAGCATTAAACAATTCTCCACTACAGTTGTGCCATGCTTATTCCATAACAAACAGGACTCTGTGCATGGCACGAGGTTGCTAGCAGAATTCAGAAGATAAAAAATGTCCTTTGTTCACTCGATTTCGGTTCACATAGACGAGGTCTAAGTACAGTTTTCGGAAGATCAAAATGCGCCATAATCTGATTACAATAGGATCTTTCTCAGCTTGCAGCTTCAGTATCTTGCTATCTTCCAAGCTCAGTATCTTCAGTGCGGTGTAGATGACAAGTTAGCAGTTGTAGCAGCACTATCACCTAGAAGACGTCTGGATTGCAATGGCCGGAGATAATGCCGTGTTGCGTCGCTTGGGCAAGATGTAATGACAGGACATAATTCCTATGCTGCAAGATAAGAGATGAACAACCAAGATTCTTGTTAGAACAAGCATTAGAAATAACATAAAAGAACTGAAAATTAATGAATGTTGTGATAAACGCACAAACCTGTAGCGCCTTTATCTCCTTTTCGTACGTGTCGATAATCTGCGACCGCTCCTGCGACATTTTCTTTTCATAATCATTGAGCCGATTGTGCTGTTTAAGAAATGCGCGCTTCAGGACACCGTTCTGTTCGAGAAGGCCTCCTAACATCAGCTTCAGTATCTTGTGTTCCTGGAAGTATCAGTCAAGTTGATCAGTCAAGCTTCCATAACTTTCATAACTGGAAGATATTGATAATTCAAGACGACATTATTATAACTGGATGGAGTAGTATTTGTTACCTCGCGCATCTTCCGCATTTCAACTGGACTGATACATGCTGCAGTGGATTTCTCGAATAGGTCAAGTAACCTAAAGGCTCGGTTCTTGGCATCAACCAAATCTAGAGCAGAGGACATCTCCTTGACAACTAGCTCAGCCCATTCAGACCCATTGGATGGGATGTTCATCGCTGACAAATCAGATTCAACTGCAACAACCATCAGTAAAAGAGAGTTTCAGATTTCCGCAAAATTAACTAATTGGTCTGGAAGGGTAATCATGAATGAAAGGAAAACAAATGTTACCATACCTTTAGGAGAGACCACCTCGTTTCCTGTATCACCGGAAGCCGCCTCTGTGATCTCAGTATCAGTATGAGATTGCAAACGATGCTTGAATCCCCTAATTGCAGCGTCCAACACATTACCGGACGCTTCAAAAAAGCTCTTCAGGAGCTACAAATTCAAAAAGAGATAAAAAAAATACAGTATCAGACAAACTGGCACAGAGATCAAATTAGATACAAACACAATGAACAATGATGAATCATATTCAACATCAAACACAATGATCAATGCTGAATCGTATTCAATACCAATATGATGTAACATCTAAAGTCTCATCAGTAAAATCAGGATTCTTAAGTCTTAACCCTCTACTTACTAATTAAGTGCCTGTGCAAGTGCAAACATGAATCCCACAAAAATAATAGATGCGTGCTAATTTCTGCGGCTGATGATTCATTCATAAATCACAATCCTTTCATCTACATCGTGATCGAATAGCGCTCCTATCCTATGGTGAAGAAGCTTAAAAAAAACAGAGCAACCAGAAAAAACAGAACAGAAGGTAAACAAAGATCGATGGATGAATCCTGCAATACCTGCGGATCTTCATGGGGGAAGATGAGCTGCAGCACTTCGATCGGGTCGAACTCCAAACTCACCCCGAGGTCAGCCGCGGAGGCGGCCGACGACGAGCACCGGCCGCGCTTCGCCAGGTGGTGCGACGGGAGGGGGAACGGGTCGTCGAGGATGTCTGCGACTGAGAACCCGCGCTTCCGGCTGCTGGCGGCAGCGACCGTGGCCGCCATTGGTGCGGGCGATCGGAGGGGAGAGGGTGTACCGGCGGCGAACTCCTCGGATCAAAGGCGGAGAGTGATTCGGATGGACCGGCGTTGCGGCCTCGCGGCCCGCGTGGCTTGCTTTTATAGGCGAGAAAGCCAGGGGAATTCGAGATCGGAGAGCCGAGTCCGATTCCGAAGCGGCTCGGTAGGGGCAGATCCAACTTGGGACATGGGGGTTCAGTTGAGCCCCAAACTTTTCGGGGGGAAAAAACAAACTGTTACTTGTATTAAGGTTAAGGCTTTATTTAGTACCCAAATTGTTTTTTCCTAAAAACGTCACATTAAATCTTTAGACAAATATATAGAGCATTAAATATGGATAAAATAAAAAACTAACTACACAGTTTGCATGGAAATCACGAGGCAAATCTTTTAAGCCTAATTAGTCCATGATTAGCCATAAGTACTATAGTAACCCACATAAGCTAATGACAGATTAATTAGACTTAATAAGGGTCTGCTCAGATTGTAGTCAAAATAAACCTTACCAGATGGCAATATTGTCAAAATTTTAGCAGGATTTCTTATGTATTGATTAAATTTGGCAACAAACTAGACATGGATATTTTTTGACAACTTTATTAAAAAATGGTATGGTTGAAAATAGCATCAAAGTGAACAGGCCTTAAATTCGTCTCGCGGTTTTCAGATGAGTTATAAAATTAGTTTTTTCATTCGTATAAAAACATCTTCCGATATTCGGTCAAATATCCAATGTGACAACTAAAAATTTTATTTTCGCAAACTAAACAAGGCCTAAGGCTCTGAAATTAAAAGAAGAGCCTCTTCCAGCTCTCGAAGAGAAGCTAGGGTTAACGAACGAACGCAAACAATATCCAGACAAAAGTAGTCACGATGGGAGAGAGAGAGATGAATCTGCTCTGCTCTGCTCGCCAGATGGAGATCGCCGCCCCTGTCCCTTGTTCTGTTCAGCCGGCACTCGTCTTGGCAGCGCAGGGAGCGGAGACAAAGAGACGGGAGATTTTCTTTCTTTTACGCTGCCAAGGAAGATATTCTACTCGGAGAATATTTAATTATTTGTCATCCTTACTACTGGTAATTAAGAATTTGTCATTAAACCTACGGGCCTGTTTGGCACAGCTCCAGCTCCGGCTCCACCCCTCCTGAAGTTGGAGCTCAGCCAAACAGTTTCAGCTCCACCAAAACTGGGAGTGGAGCTGGGTGGAGCTCTCTCACAAAATGAACAGACCCAGACCCAACTCCTGGAGTTAAATTGAGGAGTTGGAGCTGTACCAAACAGGCCCTACGTGTCATAAACTGTGAGTGATAAATTTTTAATTACCATATCTTAAAAGTGGCAAAAAGTTAATACGAGTACTCTCACATTTATCTCAATATTTTTACTACTTTAAAATTAGCTATTTCTTTATAATGACTAGTTGCCCACGTATCAAAAATTAACAAACTCGATTAGCGATCGTATCGACAACAAACTCCTCGTACCACCAACAACTATCACTCCACGCATCGCCACCACCGCTCTTTCTCCATGAGCCACCATCGTTGCTCATCTCCGCCTTTGCATGTGCAATCGCACCCTCAAGTTATCCTCCATGGGTCACCCTTTTTTCTCGTCCCCTCTCGTCATGCACACTATCATTATGGTCGCCATTAAGGTCGGTGGTGTCGGTCTTACAGAGACACAGGGAGTCAAGGAGGAGGCAGGAGTCGACCCGATGAAGAGCGAAGACACTAGATTTGGGCTCCTTCTTGCTGAATATAGCGGTTCCCCAATTGTTGGAGGGAAAAAGAAAATGGAGAGAGAGAGAGAGTTAGTGTGCGGAGTGGTTCCTGAGTCACTGTGATGTGACCATCAAGTATATGTAACCAAGCATAAGAAATATAAAACATTGTCAAAGAATGTATCGGATGAATAGAGGATCTACAAGATATTCAAGTCCAATGAGTTGTGGAATATAGTTCGGTCTCCGGAGACAACACTAACTTTAAACAGACCTAGCATCTTCATGCCAACTCCGATTTGGGTGATCTTCGACTTGATGGAAAGCTTATCTCATTACCTTTCAAATGCATCCAGTCTCATATCCAAATTCATTCCGAGTCAACGGGAATCATCAAAACAAGGCAGTGTTGTTGCTGAAACCGAACTTGGGCTTTCAGCCTTGTAATAGACTAGGCCCATCTCGGAAGTGTCTCCGTCCACCTCCACGAATTAGAACATAACCCTAGATCTATTTTCCTCTATAAATGTCTATGCACACCCTTTAGAAAAATTGGGTTTTGTTTAGTTGAATTTTGCCAAGTGCCATTCACCTTGTCTCTAGTCCTCGCTCGATTAGTCGGTGACTATAAATTTAGAGCCCCCAATAGTTGGTGTGTTGATTTGCCGGGTCGATTAGATCTACCACTTCAATCGCAACTATTCCTTTGTACTTAATTACCTATTCGCAATATTTAGATTGCATCTTATCTTGTTCTTGTAGTGTTCTCTCGTTTGCATTGTAGGGATCATCAACCGTGTGCCACGGTTGGTACGACATCGTTTATGGTGTAGCGATTGCACAGCGTCCTAGACTTGTTCTGGTTGGTAGCCACATCGCAAACGTCGCACTCGATCAAAGTGAGAGTTATCCCCCTCATCAGAAGATCGGGCCACGAGAGAGAGCGTCGTCACACCGGACTTGGATATGGATGGAATAGGGTGGTCCAAATTGAAATGTAAAGTTAGCTCTTTTGTAAATGAAAAGAATGGTTAAAGATGACATAGTATGAAAACTTTTAAGAATACATAGTACGAACTATAATTTACTTTTTTTCTTTAGCACAATTATTAAAGATGAGTTGTCCATTGCCCGATACTACTGTGATATACTAAGTCTTTAGCATAATTAAAGATGAGTTGTCCATTACCCGACAGTCTTGTGATATACTAAGTGTGGTTGGGTCGGTGTACTTAGCTATTACTAATAATCTCATGATATGTTGATGCATCAAGATATGGACTTCTACTAACACGGGTTAATTAATTATGGTTAGATAGATTAAGCTAAAAAAGATAAAATTAATGCCATCAATTACGCTCAACAATAAAGCATTCGACTCTGGTCTCCTTTTCTCACTACGTGATATACAATGATTATATCAGTAGGCATTTCCATAATTCTATCATATTAAATTTTTTTCTACATATACATTAATTTGGACTAATATTTTTCTCATAATTAAATAGATAATAAATCATTTTTTATATTTCTCCTATAAAATGTGAATAGGGCATTGTATAATGCGAAAATTATATTATATGCATGTAATTTAATGTGTAAGATATGGACTATTTAACTTTTTCTAAAAATTTTGCACAATAGTAGATAGGTAATGAACTGAACAACCATAAAAAAATATATAGAGAATCCATTGTGTGTTACTGATTTTGTCCTTGTTCTACAATATGTCACTAGGTTTGCCAAGTTCTAGTATGCCATCGCACTATGCTTAACTTCTATAACATACCATCGTCGTCTAGCTTCCGTTAGAATTGTACAATTTTGACATAATGACCGAAATACCCCTAGGACGAAAAATTACAAATATCAGATTGTAACAAAGTTTGAGATGCGCAATTCTCTGCCTTGTTTATAATGACATTTCGGATTTTTTGCCAAATTTTAGAATTTCCGTCCCATGGATATTTCGGTCATTATGACAAAATTATACCGAACTAACGGAGTCTAAATGGACGGCGACGGTATATTATAGAGGATAAGCAAAGTACAATGGCATATTGTATAACTTGACAAACTCAGTGGCATATTATAGAACAGGGACAAAGTCAACGGCACACAATGGATTCTCTCTAAAAAACAATCTAGTCAAATTGTTTGTTTATCTCATTCAAAACAAAACATTTTTTTTATCAAACACGTTAGGAGAACTTCAAAAGAAGGTAAGAAAAAGAGGAGGTTAGTCACTAGCTCAAACACACGTGGGGAAAAGTTACTCACATCCATGGTATGGTATATGCTCACATTAATCGATAATATACTAATATTATTAAAATTGTTCTTCGTCGTAATACGGTGTGAAACTAAAACTTTAACCTTATATTCTTATGTTGTTCCATCTTCTTCTTGTTTTCTCATTCTTATTCTTTTATAATAATATTGCCACAACCAACACTATTATTTGCACATGAATATTAGTAGCTAACTCATGTGTGTGCGCTCCGTAATATATATTATTGTTGACGCGAAAAACACGCACTGGCCTGAGAGATCTGCTTAACTCTAGTGCAGGTCCAAAGCGATTACCTTCGGGTTCTGAGTGTGCCAGTTGGTTTGATCCTGCAACCAACAAGAAATAAAAAGGGACAAAGTTAAATCCGTCAACGATAGCCGATCGGCTGGATTGACAATGACATATCGTTTGGAGCCAAGTCGATGTAACTTGCATCAGATCGGCAAGGGAAGATAAAGCGTAGAGATTATTAGATCTACTCGATCGGTTGAAGATGTCAACGATACACAGTCTATCTAATGAAATACATTTAAACCAAGTGATTGGAATAGATCGGACGATGTGCCGAGATAATATAAATCACTTAATATCTAAATGTGCCTCAAAGTAAAGATTGTGTATGCTCGCAGCATAGCCGATACAGCAAACCTAGCATGTATCGGCTAGTACTCCAGTACGACTCTATACTAAGATAACAGGGTAAATGAAATATATAAAACGCAGATCAATCTAGCAAGTAAGATGGACTGGCAGACTGATAAAGAGCAAGATATGCTTCAAATAAACGAGATCTTAATATAAAGGGCAGATTTAGAAGATCGAGAACCATAAAAGGCACAAGACAACTAAACCAGATAAGATCAGCTGAAACCCCGATGCTATCTCTATTAGAAATCATAGGAAAAGCTAGATAAAACGATTCAAGACATCACTTAACAGATCGAACCTAACCGATGCAGCATTATGCGTGAAAAGAAACATAAAATCTAAACAAATCGATGAAGACTCATTCAAGATGGTAGATACGCTGTATAATCTAGCTCAATACCGATATCTAAATCTATCGGTTCTTTTCGATGATAGAGGCTGGCCGATGAAGTTAGATGACGGGATCGATCTAGGCTATACAGCATATATGATAACTTGGCGATTTACATAGACAGGATTAGAGTGTTATAGAGATG